ACTAAGAAGTTCTTTACTCAGTATTGTATGTAATATCTACCAAATAAATGCCAAATACTTTTTTAATACCCAGTATAACTCGTAATGTTGATGTGAGATTCACATAATGTGACTTAAATATTAAACGAAAATATTAAATGAAACATTCCACAATGAGAAAACTTTAAATAATGTTAATCTTGACAATATAATTTTTAAAACATTTTAAAAATGAAAAATAAGGGGACAAAGCGAACGTTACAATTGTACATTGTACACGCACAGCACTATAGTGTGTTGCAGACCGGAGTCAAATCCCCGGTCTGCAACACACACTACAGTCAAAACTGTTAGTAACTTCTATATATAATTTTACTTTCTTTAAATCATTAATAGGAAACATTTATGCTGTAAATCAAAGGTTCACAACCTTTACTATCGACTTTTTCCAAAAACCGAATTTAACTCGTCGATCCTTTCTAAGCCAATACAAAATAATTAAACATAATTAAACATTTCTGTGTCTATACTGTCTACTCAAACATACAGGTAAAAATAATTAATAATTAAACATTACTTTAATAAAATTTATATATAATAATACCTGATATATCTTTTATTATTTCCATCCCGTAGTAATTAAGCGAACTGCCAGATAAATCTATTGATCCCTCGGAAAACTAGCAAATAGATTGATTGAAAGCCTCTATTGAGAATCAATAAATTGATAAAATTCTTCAAAACTTCTGCTTATTATTGTAAAAATAATATAAGATAATTAAAAAAAATACACAGTTATTAGGGGAGACCGGGGCAAGATCGGCATGTTAAGCTTTACTTAAATTTTGGGTAATAAATACTGCTGTAAACTGAAAAAAAAGCTTTGCATATTGTCTATTGGAATGTTACCTTACTATAGAACTGGTTAAAATCAGTTTGGAAATAAAAATAATTAAAATAATTACAACTTTACAAGAAGAGAGAAATTGACGAAGTTGCCCCGGGTATAGGGGCAAGATCGGCAACTTCTCTCTTTTTGTAAAGTTGTAATTATTTTAATTATTTTTATTAAAGTTGCCCCTGGTATAGGGGCAACAGTAATGGGGCAAGATAGGCACGTATATAAAATTATGTTATTAACAATGTATAAGTTGGAATTCACTATTAAAACAAAGAAATACAAATCCAACACCCATTTAATATTATTACAACGAAATGCAAGTTCAAAGACATATATACATGAATAACAAATGCAAACATGTTTTCATTTATCATCTGTTTGATTTTTATCCTTTGCTTCTAATGTGGCTTTATGTTGCCGATCTTACCCCGCTAGTCATGATTTCGAAACATTAAGTACAACCCTGAGAACAGAATGCCAAGCCACGATCTGGCCACGTGAATAAGTTGAAGTTACATCCTTCTAACAGGAAAAGTAACTTTCGTTATCATGGAATTATAACAAAACCTGCCAATTCAATATAAATGGAAAAAAAATATTATATGGAATTGAACGAAAATGAAAATTTGCTTGATAATTCAACTACGCTTGTTGGAGAACAATAAAAACACTACACTCAACAAGCCACCAATAAAACTCAACTGCCTAACCTATAACCAAAGTCTCCTTTTAATTTGTTTTTAAAAAAAAGCGCTTGACAAACTTGCCCCGCATGCCGAAGTTGCCCCGGTCTCCCCTATCTTTCAAAAACTAATAGAATCTATTGTTATTTATTCAAATAAAAAATAAAATTCATTGACATTCTTTAACAGAAACGAATAGAGGAGAAAATCTCTTTAGCCTATATAACATATAAGAGGCCTTTCCCCATCAAATAATAATTTAAAAGCGCGAGGTTCTAAATTGTACAAACTGTACTCTCATAGCGTGAGAACCAAACTGTAACTTACTTAGCTTAGAACTAAATCAGGCTCTGTATAGAGGTATTTATTAAAATAAAAAATAGTATCAAGAACAGATATAACTATTTAATAACCTAATTTTTTATTTCGTCTTTTTGTTACGACGTAATTATGCATAGTTATGCAAGGTTATTATTGTATACGTTTAACCTTGTATATCCATAGAAGGTTAAATATAAATATAAAATTTGGAAATATTCAAATGAATACAATAGTTATATAAATAGGAGTCTTCTAACCGAATTTAAGAGCTTTTTGTCTTTATTTCACCATTATCATTCCCGAAATTAATCATAACTTTACACTTAAGTTATAACCTTTATAATGCGAGTCCAAATAATTTAAAACTTTAAAATTTTATTATTTTATAACATTACAATTAAAACATATAGTCTAACTAAATCAAAAAACAAAACACCTTAATTTGCTGAGAAAAATTTGTTTTTTGATTTATATACTATTGCTGAGTGTGTGTACATCAATTATAGTCTAACATATGCACTGGAGAAGAAAGAGGTAGATCCCCCGAAAGCCCTAAAAAATATGAATAAAATGAATAAAAGACAGATTTTTTCGTCATTTTTTAAAAGAAATTTTAATTTATATCATATATTTTTTTATATATAAAAGGCTAATGACTAGGATCTTTATTGCCTGAGGCCTGCACCAAATGTCCTGCTAATCCTTTTATATCTTGGCCTGCTTATAAACATCTAACAGTCCAACAATAAAATTTCATACAGCTTAAACATTTTATATCTATATCTTTCATTTTAACAAAATAGTAGGTTCCAGCAATTTATTTTACATTTCTTTCTATTTTCTATAAATTCCCTGGAATATTAATTAAGTTATTATTAGAATAATAATATATCTTTAAGCTAATCGAAAAGAAAAATGATAAATTTCAAAATATTATATTTATTTTAGGAATTTCTATTAATTTTATAATATAAATATTGTTTTTAAGATTTCAAAAAACGAATAAAAACGTTACACAAAGCTTGCGAAAGTATAACTTACAAAATAATGTTTGTAATATCTCATCGATCAATAAACTATTTCATAACTTGAACAAATATCTTAAATTTGATAATTTATTGTCACAGTGTGTATCATAGTATAAAAATTAATAATTCGAAAAGTGTAGAAGAAAATAACATCCTTGAAAGTCTAAAAGATAATAACATCCTTGAAACTGTAGAGTTATGGGATGTGAAAAGTCAATATTGTAGAAAATGATTACAAGCATAAAAATGACATGTAATTCAAGTGTAAAAGTTTTTCTGAATTAAAAATGAACTTACATATTTTATAAAATTTTAATAAAATTTCAAATTATATACAAAAATTCATTTGGTTCAACAAAAATGTAAGCTGTAGAAACAATATATAGTCTATATAAGTCGTTTTTTTCTATGTAAAGTTACATTAAATATTAAATGACTTGTCATCATCAATTCTAAGAATTTATATGCTAATGTAAATATTTTACAAAAATAAATAAATATATTTTTGCTGACGTGCATAATTTTTATTTTCTTGTTTATATTTAAATTTTAACAAATAAACTTTTATATAAATTCTATAGTATAAACTGTGAAATTGTAGATACGAACAAAGTCAGATTCTAACCTAAACAAAATACACTTTAGGTCCTCATGCTTATAAATTTATGATTATTTGATGAAGAGACTTCTTATATTTTAGAGTCACAATGTCTAAATCCAACCATGGATATGACTAACTAATTAATATTTACTGTATGTGAATTAAATACTTTTAGTAAAAATATTCTTGTTTTCATTTCCTCTTATTTTTACTTTGGCTTCAGCACAAAACGTTTATCTTCAGATCTTTTATTACTTGGCACTTAAAATTTTCAGGATGCGTTCTAATTGTTTAAGAATAAGTATATTGTTAACTTCTGTTTTCTAAATGTTTATAGTAAGTGTAAATATATAAAAATTCAGGAATAAATTATTGAGTTTATAAAGTATTTCATTATAAATCTTTATTTTAAAGTTTAGGGCCGAATTTTATATAAGTTAAACAAGTTACAGTTTAGTACCTCAAGCTTTTAAATTTATTATTATTTGAAGAAAGGAAGGACCTCTTACTCGTTAAAACTTAGTCTAAATCTTACTTTTTAGTTGAATAGGTTTGATTGAAGATATACAGTTTATTAAAATATACAGAATATTTTTAAAATTAGAGATTAAAAATTTTTATACTAGCATATAACATGCATGTCATGTCTTTCTAAATGTTCAATTTATTTTTATTTCTCTTTCACACTTATCAGTAACGATAAATGTACAGAAATGGGTTTGATAGTAACATACAAGGTAAAAGACTTGAAGAACAATGAAACTTGAAAAAAATTTAAGAGAAAGAAACTGACTCTACAGACAAAGATATTCGTGAATTAGTAAACAAAGACTCGATCTGTCTTTAAGGATCAGTTGAATCAACTAAAGAAGAGCTATCATTATATTTTCATATTACAATTACATTATGAAATCGTTTAAATTACATTAAAGTTTAAAATTTTACCTACGAATACAACAAACAACAAAATTTCAAAGACAAAACATAGAAAACATAGCTCACATATAAGATTTTAGCATTAAATAAAAAATGTCTAACAAAATAAATTAAAATTTATAATAATTTTATGTAAATTAAAATTGATTTAAATAATTAAAAATGAATTAATTAAGTAGATACTCTATATTTTTATTTATTTTACTACGATATCTCGTTTACGCAATTTGTAATTCTGTAAATAGTTGTCTTGAATGTCAGCTTTATAGGCCAGACGTTAAACCGTCGTGCCAATTCTATAATAAATGAATTAACTAATTACATAACGAAACTTTAAAACAGTAAAAAAAAAATCTATGCGGTAGAGTAGGCCTACAGACATTTTATTATTTTTTTTTCCTACACGTGTCACGACCACGCGTTAATAAATGAATCAATTTCGCGACTACGTCAAAATAGCCAACTTTCCGATTGGCTCGATCATCGTTACGTTACGGCGCGGTACGTTGGGAGTTTATTATTGGTGGATACATCCCACGTGATCGCACACCTATTTCTTCTTAGCCTCTCGCCGTTCGGAAGTCTTTTTAAGTATGGCCATGTTATGTGGCGTATCGGCAACTTCTAGATACGCAAAATTTGCTTTAAAATGCGGTTATAGATATAATTACACGATTCTAAGATGTAAATCAAGTTCGGCGACCGTTGTAACATCAGAAACTACAGTTGTTTCTTCGCAGACGGAAAGAATCAGGCAACCAGATCCACTGGACCTGACATTTGAAGACACCAAGTCGGCCTACAAGAGTAAAACAACATGGGAGTTATTCAGAGCATTTTTGGTTTTAAAGTTAACTAAATATGATTATTTAGTGGAAAATCATCAAAAGGTGAGTAATTATTTAGTAGAAAATCATCAAAATGTTACTTAATACTAATTAAGTACATGTATTTTATGTTTATACATATAATACATGTATTTTAATTATTACTTTCTGGAAATTCCTACTTTAAACGTGAAAATACCTTTTTAATTGGAAAAATTTGCGCTTTACTTAATATAAAAAATAAATATTTAATTTTTGATTAANCGCTTAAATTTTTATTCGAAAGATTTAAACAGAAACTACTAAAACACGACTGTGTTTATATTTTACAAAAGACGTAACTTTATAAACTGGTTTTCTGTTTAAATTTTTGCAAATGATTGTGTTTTTCTCAGTACATGTAACCTTGAAACAGACTTTTATACAAAGGTCGCCAGTTCTGTTTCTTACTGGCTTTAAAAATATCATTTTGTTGTAGGAAGACCCGCGTGGAAGTAAACAAACAGGCGTGTTTGTTATTCAAGAGAATCCATTCATTTGCTTTAAGCTAGCGATGATTAGACTTTACCAAATTGCTGATAGATTTTTTTTAAAGTGATCAAAATAGAAGCAGTTTCAATAAAAAACAACAGATTTACTTCTAGAATAATTATCATCATGGCAGACTTCCTGCTGTGAAAATGGCGGTCGTACCCCTCATACCTTTAGCTTGTTGACGTTGGTTTTCACATTTTTTTTTTCAACTCGCAAACACTTTTTATCCCTTACTACGTCTGTAGTTTATATAACATTTACATAGTTAATTATTATATATAGCAATTTTATGCTAAAACTGCTATAACGCTAGATTATTGTATAGCGTGCAGCAGAAAATTATGGATTTTTTAATAATTTATTGGAAACAAAATTGAATATTTTTAAGATGCAATTGTCCTATATAAATAGAATTAAATATGCTTTAAAACTTGCGTTAAAAAAAAAATCTATAATAATATTGCATACGAGGCAAATAGGGCAACAGAAACGTACAGTTTTAAAGCAAAAATAGTAATAAAAAAATGTTGGAGAGAACATCAATAAAAACACGTGTTTTTACTATAGTTTGTATGCCGTCATCACGTGTATTTTTAGATAAGAAAATTCAAGATAATTATTATAAAAATAGACTATTTATCACTTATAACTGTCTGTGCACTGATATTAACAGTATCATTCTAATTAAATACTGTACTTCTGTAGGATATTATTTTGTAATACTTAAACTATGTTATAATTTTTAAAATGCAGTTACTTTTATTAAAAATTTTACGTAATAAATATATAATATATAATTGATTAAAAAATGTGTTTCAACATAAGGAAATAGAGCTCATTGAATTACTACATCTTAAATGGTATAAATTATGCATATGTATATGTCTTTAAAGTTTATAATATTATTAATTATTTAAAAAATAAAACAAATTTTAATGGAATTTCCTAGTTATATTATTACAATTCTATTTTTTTTTGTTTTTTTAATGAGAAATTTTATTCCATAAATATAGAATCTGTAAAAAATAGAATTTATTTTCATTATATAATAAAAGTTTCCAATAAATAGGAAATAAAAGTTGTCCTAGTAATGCTAAAAAATCTAGTTAAATGATAAGATATTACTAATATTGTGAACTAAAAAGAAAATATGAATAATGAAGCAAGAAGTAAGTAAAGCAGAGTAATTACTTAACAAATTCTTTCATAATATTATGTATAAGTTTATTTGTGACCTTCATAAATTAATTATTATAACCTGTTTTGAGAAATAAAGTAAATTTGTTTTATCAAATTGTATGTCAATGGCTTACGGAAGTTCAAAATTCAGACTTTGGGTATGGCAGCCCATTAGTTGTTCCAGCAATTCAGCTGTCAGACATTACTTCATAGCAAAGTGCACTCACACTCTAAGTAAAAATAGAAAGAGAATCTGATATAGTGTTTTGGCTTTGTAGTGTTTTTTAAAAATCTTTTTTTGGCGTGACCTCAATTTTCTAATTAGAGAATTGGCATAAAATTCCATGAAAGTAAACTTTTAAAGATGTCTTTTTGAATAATTTTGTGTAAATAAAGTCAAAATGAAATTTGTCTTGAAATTTTAAATTATATCTTATCTATAGAATTTACTTTTTCTTTCTTTTAATCACAAAATGATAAATCATCATTATTTTATAAATGATTACATTTAATCTTTTATCTTTTTAACCTTTTCCCCCACTTCCTTTATAATAATAATCTACATTTAACTGATTTATGTTCTACAATANCTAGTTAGCTGAGATTCATTTATTTATTTTGTAGCAATATTATATTTGTGTTTATAAACAATATTTATATATAAACAATGCACAATCGGTTTAAATTTCTTTTATTGAAATGAGAGAAATTGTGGTATAAGAATTTTGAATTTTGTTTACAGTTTAATCTATTTCTTAACCAAGCAAATTTTTTGATCAGTTATAGGACATTTAATCTTTTTTAAATGTAAAATAATGATTTAAATTGAATTTCTAATTGTGTCAAACAAAACTTGTCAAAGCAAAGTCTTAAATGAATAACTCCTATGAGTTCATTTAAATACTGTATTATCAAAATATGTTACTTTATTTCTAGGAACCACAGTATTTCTTTAATATTGTTACTCTGGGCATTAATTTTTTAATAAAATTTTATTTCTGGTAATTAAAATTAATCAAAACATAAATTTATTTTTNTTCATTATTGCAAATATTTATTAATATTTTGTTTGTGTATTTTGATGCAAAAGCTAATATAAATTTAAAAACATTAAAATATTACTGTTAGTTATTAGCGTTATAAAGATCAAACAGATTACTGAAGATTGAAACAATGGTTTTTCGGCAAACTATCTTCTCAGTTTCACAATGAAACAATTCATTATTCAGTTTAAAAAAAGTTTCCAATAAATAGGAAATAAAAGTTGTCCTAGTAATGCTAAAAAATCTAGTTAAATGATAAGATATTACTAATATTGTGAACTAAAAAGAAAATATGAATAATGAAGCAAGAAGTAAGTAAAGCAGAGTAATTACTTAACAAATTCTTTCATAATATTATGTATAAGTTTATTTGTGACCTTCATAAATTAATTATTATAACCTGTTTTGAGAAATAAAGTAAATTTGTTTTATCAAATTGTATGTCAATGGCTTACGGAAGTTCAAAATTCAGACTTTGGGTATGGCAGCCCATTAGTTGTTCCAGCAATTCAGCTGTCAGACATTACTTCATAGCAAAGTGCACTCACACTCTAAGTAAAAATAGAAAGAGAATCTGATATAGTGTTTTGGCTTTGTAGTGTTTTTTAAAAATCTTTTTTTGGCGTGACCTCAATTTTCTAATTAGAGAATTGGCATAAAATTCCATGAAAGTAAACTTTTAAAGATGTCTTTTTGAATAATTTTGTGTAAATAAAGTCAAAATGAAATTTGTCTTGAAATTTTAAATTATATCTTATCTATAGAATTTACTTTTTCTTTCTTTTAATCACAAAATGATAAATCATCATTATTTTATAAATGATTACATTTAATCTTTTATCTTTTTAACCTTTTCCCCCACTTCCTTTATAATAATAATCTACATTTAACTGATTTATGTTCTACAATATTTATAAATTGCAGCCAACGAAATAA